ACCCTAACTGAATGCCATGCAACTGTGGTTTGATGCATTGTCTCTTTTCGGTTTCATTATATTGGCTTAAAGATCTGCAATTTTAGGTGTCTGATTTTCACCATGATGACCATGAAATATTGGGTGCACAGTCGTCCTTATTTGCATTGTCAAGGGAGCACATGAACTCCCAGAAGGCAATATCATTACCCTCGTCTCCCAATGAATTCAGAAGGCAGGCTCCAGAAAGAAGGTGGCAGGTGAATGATGAAACGGTCTCAACCTGGAATAGGATTCTGGAATCACCAATGTTCCTGAATAAGCCTCTTCTACCTTTTGAAGAGTGGAATATAGACTTCTCAGAGTTGACCGTTGGCACTCGTGTTGGGATTGGTGAGTTTATTTTAAATCTTTTTTCCAAGTAGTACTGTAGTAAATTATGCTTCACTGTTTTGTTTGCTAAATCATTTGGTTGCATTGTACCACTAATGAGTCCACAATGAACTGTGTTGAGACTGCTCTCGTTGCTCCTTGTGCTAATGACTGCCAACTATTATACTATTTCTGATGGATCATGCTCTGTGAACTTTGATGTGGGAGAAGCGTTTGCCCAGGTTCATGATAATTTGATCACTTTATGCTTTGAGTTTAGAAAACAGCTTGGGTTTGTCAATTTGCTGCATATGCACTTTGAAGAATTCAACGCAGAGGGGAAATAGATAGCAAGGGCCAAGGTCCCTATGCTTGAGGATTCATGTGTTTGGATGAGAGAGGGGGATCTTACCACTTATCCATACTATTTTTAACTGCTAGTATGGAATTATATAATATTAATCTTCCAACATTTATAAAAATAAGAAGACGTGGTTTAGTGAATCTGATAAATAAAAAAAAAGAGACATCATTTTGCAGTGTTGTGAATTATGGTCAAAATGACAGTTCTCAATCGTTTACTATTTGATTTGATTGATTGAGATTCTCCAGTGGGTTTTTGTCTCTATTTGTTCTATAATTCTGATTTTCCTACATATGGAAAGAGTTTGGTAGAACCTGAATATTCCCTTCCATTCTTTCTTCCCAACATGCGTTGTAAAATGAGAGAGAACATAAAACACAAGGAGGGAGATGCACAGGGAACCTTTTTTCAGTTGGTTCTGATGTATTTGACAACAGACCTGGAGCTTTATCTGTTGCTTATCTTGAGCGCCAATCTTACTTTTCTGACCATCAGAGCGCTTAGATTCTATGTATCTCAAAGGAAAGCTTTATTATTTTAACAAGGATTTGATCTTTCAAAGCAATGGCAGATTCAAGAACAAGTAGACATTCTTTTTTGGGGTCAGGGATAGTGAGCTGTGAATAAAAAGCTATTTAACTTCAATACGGGTCATATATCAATATGGAATGCAGCAGTGACCAGGCTATTGGAACTTTCTGCTGTAGCTTCTCCATAGAATGGATTTTGGAGACAAATGGAGGTGTTTATATACAATGCATTTCCACTGTGAGATTCCTTATAATATATGGGTCTCTGCTCGAGTTTTTAGCAGCCTCAGTGAACCCACCTTTGCCAGTGCTCTTTCTGCTTGTCGTGGAAGCTCTTAACAAACTGTTTGAACAAGTCATTTATGAAAGAGAGATCAAACCTTTTGTTTGCAGACAATGCCTTCACTTTGTGAATATGAGACAAATACGATCATTGTTTAGAACTCTGGTGTAGTGGGTTATTTTCAGGGCTTTGCATCAACATAAGAAAGTTTGGATTAATACCAGTATAGGAAGTGAAAAACATCCAAGAAGAAGCCTCAGTAGGGAGGTGTATAAAGTGTTGATCTTCCTACCAAATACTTCAGCCCTTCTTCTCAGTGGTAAGGTCAAGGAGAGTGCACTTTTGTGCCTAGTTTTGCAACAATCTTAGCACATCTTGGAAGGATTGAAGAGGCAATATTTATCAAAGGATGGGAGAATCACTTTGATCAAGATATCGCCCTTCAGCTTTTCGACATTTTTGTCCGTGTACCTAATCCCATTAGTGATCGCAAAATAGCTGGAAAAATTAGTGAGGGAATTCTATGAGACTGGTGAACGGTAATATCACTTTGTTGGGAGAAAATAACAGCTCCAGTAGTGGCGGGGAGATCGGGTATTCGAAGATTTACTACATGTCATCAAGCTCTCCGAGGAAAGTTTTATGGAGATTCTTATGCAAAGAGAATGCTCTGGTAGGAAAGATACAATGTAAATAGGGATGTGGTCTATAGGGTTGTTATCTATGAGGTCGCATCATCACATGTGATAAGTTTGTGGAAATGCAATATGAAGGAGAAGTTGAATTTTTCAAATTACTGGCTTTAGGGAATGGGAGCATAATGCGATTTTTGGCTTGATATATAGCGTGGTCAACCAAATTGAAAAGTGAATTCCTTTATCTGTTCTCCATAAAAACTTTTTAGCTAAATAAATGTTGAGGAGGTTGATAAATTATTTATGAATGATCTTCTAACTGTTTTCTGGTTATTTATATTACAATCACCTATTGGGGACGCTTCAAGACTATCCTCTGAAAGAGTTGAACATCCAATATTTAGCGACAAATAATATAACTTTTTACTTGTCTTTGTGGTAGAGGAGGACATTCCTTGCTCTATAGATAGATGGTTGGAATTGTTAGGAGGTCCAATGCATTTTTTTGGTTAAAGGTCTAATGCATACTTGATTAAACCACCTTTGTACAGTCAACAGCATTTTAGTGTACTACAAAAAGGTACATGATGTATAAGAAAAAAAAGAGATCAAAATGGAATGCACATCAGAGATAATGTCACACCAGGGAATGGTGTTACGCCTGCACCAAATAGAGAGTGAACTGTCTCACAACATTAGAGCCGAAAAGATATATAAGATGTTGATACACATGGAACCAAACACGGGAAATGTAATAAAGTCAAGTACATTACCTACAAAAACTATTTAAAATGTATCTTCAAAGTAATCAATGACCAAATATTTGATTTCCCATGTTCTAATAATCTGCATTTTCTTCCACCAACCGCCATTTGTATTTGAGAGTTTGAGGTCTAAATGCTCTGGACATATTTGCAGGATTCTTTGGGGAAGTTTTTCGTGGTATTTGGAATGGAACTGATGTTGCTATTAAAGTTTTCCTGGAGCAAGATCTTACAGCGGAAAACATGGAGGACTTCTGCAATGAGATCTCTATCCTTAGGTATTGTGTCTATCTAGGGTTGGGCTCAACTTCTTTTGGCTTTGAGATGTTCTAACCTAAGTTTTTCTTTCTTCTTGCTTTCCCAGCCGTCTTCGACATCCAAATGGTATTTCTCCTCTTTTCCTTTCAAGTGTTGGCGTTTCTTTCTGACTTGGCTTTAAAATATTGTTCCTTGTTTTGGACTATTGTACATCTAACTTCAGCCAATGGTTGCAGTTATATTGTTTCTTGGTGCATGCACAAAGCCTCCTCGTTTGTCCATGGTTACTGAATACATGGAGATGGGATCTCTATATTATTTGATCCATTTAAGTGGTCAAAAGAAGAGACTTAGCTGGCGGAGGAGACTCAAGATGCTTCGTGACATATGCAGGTTGGTTTGTTGATCATCTTTGGTGTTGCTTGATAACTTGGTGATCCTTAATGCTTTTCAATGACCTTTTTTGGTTTGATTGGTGTTCTTCTGTGATATTTTCATATAATGCTTCAATGATATGTGAAGGGTCTTAAATGTAACTTGAAAGAATTGATTGGCCTTGATATATTTTCGGGAGGCATCCTTGATAAAACTGGTAAAATTGCGTGGGAAAGCATAGTTGAATTTTGATTCGTCTTTGTTTATGCAATTCAATAATGTTTTGCTGATGAAGTTCCATGTTTTGTTGAGACGACTTATTTTTCCATTAATGCTGATTACACACCCTTTCCACATGTTAATTACAACCGTCTATTGTTTTGTTATTACATAATGCTTCAAAAGCTTCTAAGTTAAATACCTCAACCATGCTTCTACTTTTACATTTCTCAAGGACGGGATTTATGATTAGTTTCTTGCTTCTGTTGGCAACTAAGAGGGTTGATGTGCATACATCGGATGAAGATAGTCCATCGTGATCTAAAAAGTGCAAATTGCCTTGTGAACAAGCACTGGACTGTCAAAATTTGTGATTTTGGGCTCTCGAGAATAATGACAGATGCACCTATGAGAGATTCTACATCAGCTGGCACTCCAGAATGGATGGCTCCAGAACTCATCCGTAACGAGACTTATACAGAAAAATGTGACATTTTTAGCCTAGGCGTGATAATGTGGGAGCTTTGCACCCTAAAGAGACCATGGGAGGGTGTACCACCAGAGAGGGTATGCCAAATTTCACCTTGTTATTTGGTCATTGTTTGTTGAACTTTTTTATGTCTTGGAAGTTAATCTGTTATTTCCACATGGCTACATCAAGTAATAGCAACTGCAATGTGCTCATTTTTAGGTAGTCTATGCTGTTGCTAATGAAGGATCAAGGCCAGAGATACCGGAAGGACCCCTGGGCCAACTAATTGCAGGTATTTATGGCGAAATGTATAATTAAATGCAGAGGCTCCATGTATTTCTTTGTTCTTGTATTCCTTTCTATAATGTTCTCCTATTTAGTTTTTTGACGTCCCTGACTCGTAGTTTTCCATTTCAGACTGTTGGGCAGAGCCTAACAAAAGACCAAGTTGTGAGGAAATTCTCACCCGACTGCTAGAGTGCGAGTATTCACTCTGCTAGTGCAAATCTATTTTGTCTGTACAGAAACACATGGTAGAGGTGTTAAACAATGTCCGGCTCAAGTTGTAACTTCTGTGTGATTTTCCAGTTTAAGAAAAATATGGTGTTTATAGAAATATAGTTGGGACGTTCAGCCTTTTTGCGAAATCAAAAGCAGAGTTCGTTTAACTGTTTCCACTCTCTACAAGCAAAACTTGGACCCATATCATCCTCTTCATCCCAATTTGCGTCGGAATGCATCAATAACCAATGTACAAACCTTAATGCATATAAAGAGATCTGAAAATCTAATACATATTCTGACGAAGAAAACTATTGAAGCGCTGGATATGGGAACATTATGTGCGCATTGTGTTGTTCTTTGCATCAATCGGATATTGGGCGCCTGTTTAGGGCAGCTTCAAAGCGGCTCAAGGAGTCAGCTCTCATCTCTGTACTCATGTCATTCTCTGGTGCTGGATAGTAATCCTCTCTCAGTTGTACATCTCTTAAGTTTGGGATTCTAAGAAGGAACATCATGAAATGTTCATGCGCTGTTCCATGGATGAACAGTTTTCTGAGTGTGACGCATTCTTGTAGCAGCCCAGCTGCTGGTAGGGATAGACACCTTTGGTTAACGTCCCCATCTTGTGGTGGCCAGTAATCTAGTTCGGTAAGGCTCAAATTTCCAATCCCAAACAGATAAAACCGTTCCCACAAGCTCAAATCCATCTGCCCTGATGGAGCAGTGTGTGCATAACCTATGGTATCTCCACAATCCTTATGCATCTTGGATAGCTTAGGATAGAGAAGAAGGGTGCTCAGTCCAAATGCCCGCTCCGAAGGTTTTGACCATAGCCTGCAATCTCCTTCCACCCTAATCTTGATCTCCTCTAAATTTGGACAGTCTTCAAGAGGAGTCAAAAGCTCACCAACACCAATCCAAAGAGAGAGGCATTGCAGCCGATCCCATGATCGTCCACTATATCCATTGCCATGTGCATTGACTTCCTCATACAAACTGTTAAGATCACAGGTGAACTTGCATCTTTTCTTCTGTTGAAACATGTATGCGTCTTCCTCACATCCAAATGTGTCCCCAGAACCAGCAAAGTTGCTTGATGCCTCACCTCCATCGCTCCTGTTAAGATCAAGCCCGTATCCATAACCATCAATATTCTCAAATTCTTCAACACTATCCCACACACAATCAATGTGAAGCTTTTGGATCCGTTCTCGTATCGGTTCCAGTGCTTTCAATGAAGAAGAGGCTCCAAGATTCATGCAGCAAGATATTTTGACATCAACCAAAGTCTTCTTAAGCAAAGAAGCCAGTGTCCTCATGCCCCTCATAGTAATCTTCTTACAACCTTGAATCTCAAACTTGGCCAACCTCGAACACCCTCTACCAATAGCTATCAAATCCATATCATTCAAGTCCCCCACATTCCTTATCGACAAAGATTGAAGCCCTTGACAAAGAGCAACCCCATCCAACTTAGATTCAATTGGCATAGAAATGCCATGGAATTGCCCCAACTTCAACGATCTCAATTTGGGGCATTTTTTGTTCAAAATCTCCAAAGCAGGACCCGTGTCTCTAACATTATTACAAACATCTAAAACAAGCTCTTCAAGTAATGGAAGACCAGAAAATACCTCAATCAAAGTTCCAACACTAATTTTTGCGTCCTCTTCAGTGAACCCCTCATCATTTGGATCACCCCTAGAGTTGGACAAAGCTGATGTATCCGCCAAATGAAGCACTGATAATTCGGTACAATTTGTAGCTATAGAAACCAAACCTTCATCACCAACAAAAACAATGTACCTAGGATCAAACATACAAGCTTGTGTAATTACCTTAAACTCATCAGACTTAAACCCTTCAGGAAAACTGGAATTCAAGAGATTAAAGCTAGTGAGATTAGAAGCAACCATAGGATGAGACTCCAGTGCTGTAGGAATATCATCCTTCCAGCAGTAAAAAGTCGACAAATCTAGTGATTTAAGCTGTGGGCAATTCTCAAATAGCATATTAAATTCATCACCAGTAGCTAATTGGGGACGCTGGTGCCACCGCACAAGCTTGATTTCTTTTAGGTGGGGCCATAGAGGAGGCAAAAGCTGGAGGGTGAATGGGTGGCGCGTGTAGACAACGAGGGAAGTGACGGAAGGAAACGCGTGGCGGAGAAGATGGGCGATGAGGGAAGGGTCAGCTGCTGCGGCGGCGCCGGCGACCGGAGAGAGGAGTGGGTGACCCCAAGGAGAGATAAGGGAGAGGTCAAGGTGAGTTATGGATCTGAAGCAAGTGGGTAACATGAAGAGGTCACGGACGTTGCCACGGAGCGTGAGGGAGACGCGCGTGGAACGTTCGAGAACGAGCCATTTCCGGCAGACGAGGGCAGCGGAGTTGCGGCTGCGGACGTTGGAGATTGCGGCGATGATGTTAGAGAGGATCACATCAGGTAGGTCGTTAATGATGGTAGAACAAGTAAGTTGTGTAGCTGTAGCCATTGAAATACTTCGATATGAGAACTGATTGGGGTTTTTCCTGTGGGAGAATTTCAACTTAAAACAGCCACCAAATATGATAAGCTGAGAAATTTTTGGGTTTTGGAAATTGGGTTTTGGGGAGGAGAGGTTGTCCACTTGTCGGATTATGATACAGGTAATGCCATATTTGGACAATGTGATAATTGGTATTTAGTAATTTGTGTGATTATTTTAAAGTTTAGACAATGTGATACAGGTAATGCCATATTTTTCAAGTATGGTATTTAGTAATGCCATATTTTAAAATTGTCGGATTATGATACAGGTAATGCCATATTTGGACAATGTGATACAGTAATGCCATATTTGGACAATGTGATAATTGGTATTTAGTTTACTTTTCCTTTCTACTGCTACTAAGCTGCCGTTTGATAGGATCTATTAGGGAAAATAATATATGTATTAGCTTTAGTTTTATTAATTTCTTGTATGGTAGTAATTTTCAACCTATATATAACTTATACATATATGAGGTACACCTTATTCAGTACTATTCTTATATATAGTAAACTATGACATTAAAACTGGTTTTTAATACATGAATAAGTATGTATAAAGACAAAATTATCCTTTCAAAACCTTTATTACGCCAAACAAACAATTTAATAAGAAATAATCCAACATAACTAATACATCATATTTAGTATCTATTTTTATACACCCTATCAAACGACCCTAAATTCATACACGACAATCGAACATTTACCTATATCTGTCAGTACTCATTACGGTTGGAAAAGAAATGGCGACCTCGTGTGGCCCCTGTTGTTTATGGCTTTAATGCTCCCTTGCTGCTAGTTCTTCTTCTTCCTTCTGCTTGCGTAGAGAGTGGAGACTATATTAATCTTTAATAAGGGATCGTTCGGTATAAGAGATAAAGATAATAATTCAGGGATAGAATTTGTGATTGTATTTATCCTATGTTTGATTATAGGTATTAGCTTATTTGGAGATAAATTATATATTAAAATGATAGAATTTGCTATTCCACATAGAAGATGAGATAGCTAATCTTATAAAATATTCTATCCCATGGTATATTCTTGTTTATCTCAGCATTGTAACCAAACGACCCCTAATTTTATGAAAATGTTGCACTCAGATTCTGCACATAGTAGAGCAGCTTCTGAACTACTACTACTACTACTTCTTCTTCTTCTTCTTCTTATTATTATTATTATTATTATTATTATTATTATTATTATTTGCACAGCTTCTGAACTTAAACATTGACCTTTTGGGATATCAAAAGGATTAAACGGCCGAAAACTAATAAAGCATTATGAAGTGGAGCATGTTTTATATCCGAATTTTCCTAGGGTACATATTGAGTGGCATGCACGCAGCATATTCTATTTTTTTTAAAAATAAAAAAACAAAAAAAAAACTACTCAAGCTTTAAAAAGAGTGTCACAGCCAACCCTCTTAAACAGATTTTTTTTCCCAACGTTTCACAAAGAGTTCCATAAAATATTCTTTAAAATATCCTGAAAGATTTTTGAGTAGTGAGATGTGCAGGGAAGAGCTAGAAGCCTAAATACGGGTTCGACCGAACTGAGTAACTTTCTTTTAAACAATATATTTGTGTTAAAAAATTCATTAAATATATATAAATATCAAATTTAGAAACCAATCATTAGCAGTTGAAATCGTCGTTTTAAAATATAAAACTTATAATGTTAAAATCCTGGCCGCGCCTCCGCAAGTCATGTGCTCATACTCTTTAATTTGGAGAATGGTGTTATCTTCAAGCTCTTACGTACTTTTCTTTATCCTT